TATAAGTCTCTGTATTTACTTGGTTGGGTCTGAGCGGCTGTGGTACTGGCAGGTGAGATAGATTTGTCCTGACTGTGAACCAGGCAGGAAAACTCTAGCTACAATCATTAGCCATTCTTAAGATGAAAACCAACCAGAATTAACTTTTAAATTCAGTATTTGCAGGTATAAGAAACCATAACAAACAGTTTACATCACATTTCCTCTTTCTACAACCTCAGTCTGTTCCTTTGATCCCTCAGACATTTACTCTAGACAAATTCCGCTTTTTCTTTTCTTTTAAAACAGAAACTCACCGGGCGGTGGTGGCGCACGCCTTTAATCCCAGCACTTGGGAGGCAGAGCCAGGCGGATCTCTGTGAGTTCAAGGCCAGCCTGGACTACCAAGTGAGTTCCAGGAAAGGCGCAAAGCTACACAGAGAAACCCTGTCTCGAAAAACCAAAAAAAAAAACAAAAAAAAAAAAAACAGAAACTCTTACCAAAGTCTTCCTTGTGAGTTCCCTCATTAATCTAGAATATATTGTAAAGTTATAATATTTTAAACAAGAACAGAAATACATGCATATACCATAACAAGAACAACTCTCAATTTGCATCAGCACTGTACCACAGACAAGAAACTGTTGGTTAGTCTCACATAGGTAGTGGCATTCCATTCTTGGAGCCAGATCTTGATCAGGTTTTAGCCCTAGGGCAAGTCTTGGGAGCCCCACCCAACAGCAAGGGAGATGAAGAGGACGGGAATGCGTGCACCATGGGGACCAAAGATTGCTGTTAAACTCAGATTTTCAAGTACACGAGAACGGCAGACTGAAAGTGGCTCCATGTCCTGGCTGGGCTCACAGACTTGTAGGCCACTCCTCAGCTGTGACCCTGGAGGGGCAGTTAGTTCTCCACCAGCCCCCACACTCTGAGCTCCTGGAGGCTCCTGCTGGCTCCTGCCAGCTCAGCCCTGTGTCCACATGGGAGCCCAGCCAAAACCTGACGGCCATATCTGGGCCCCACAGTGCTCATAGCCTGCCCTAGCACACAGCCATGCCTAGTTCCCATGCGGCCTCTGGGCCAATCTGGCCGCCACCTCATCATGCTGTAAAGTCTCTACTCCAAAGCTCTCTGAGCGAGCTGGTGCCCTGAACCCCCTTTGTCTAAGCCCTGTGATGCTCACAGGCTGCCTAGCTCTCTCAGCGGCATCCTGGGTCCCCAAAGTTCTGCTGCCTGTGCTCTGGTCAGAGAGAGAGCAAGGAAGCAATGGAGGAGTTCAGTTAGTCTATGCCAGTTCAACCACCGAAGGGGTCTCCATCCCTTCTGCTGACAATCCGACCTACAAGTCCCAATGCATACACAAGCTCAGGCATAAAACACACATATGGCCACAGTTCTCACACATTTATACATTTATATAGGTATAACAAATCACACTGACGGACAAGATAGGCAGACAAAAAGGAAGAACAAGGGCCCTACAGATGGTCCAGGCAGACGAGAGTCCAGAGAGAGAGCCTCAATTATGCCAAAGAACGTACGAATGGGACAGGGACAGTTCAACAGAGTGTCCCGATCCCCAGAGTTCACAAAACAGACGGACCCCTCACAGGCGTCCAAACAGACGCACCCCTCACTTGTGTCCAAACAGACGGACCCCTCACAGGCATCCTATGACAGGGAGATCTGTGGGGACCCCGCGTCCTGATGAGGGGTAGGGATGTCTCCCAACTCCACCTTACAGGCCCGTCCGCCAAGGTGAGAGCCTGTCAGATTCAACCGCCGGCTTCGGATAAGAAAATGAAAGTAAAAGGAAAGCAAAGACAAGAAAATGGAGCGCTCTTACTGATTGGTGCAGATGGACCTCCAGAGCTCTTAGGGGTCCCAGTGGGGGTTCTCTGGGGATCCCGGAGAGCCCCCAAGTGTTGTGCCCAGATTGTGACCCCCAGAGAGACCACCAAAAACGAGCATGCTGGAATGCAAAAGCAAGGTTTAATTCTGGATATCCAAAAGAGCAATACAAGCCTAGGCAGGGACTTCATCCAATACATCCAACGCAGTGGAGGCTAGAGGAAGTTCCTGACTGTCTGCAAGCTCAGTTTTTAAAGGGAAAAATCACAATGTTACATCATTTAGGGGTGCTAGTATGGGTACAATTCTGATTGACTAGCTTCTAGGGGCTTTCTAGAAATCATAGCTTAATCTTACTTCTAAGGGAGTGGTTACCCGCCACCATTTCCCATTGGCTGCCCTCAGGTGGGGACACTTTTATGGTCAGTTACCCTGGAAACCAGGGTTGGAACATTCTATAGTCTGGCAGTCATTACCTTGTGACTACCTTGTGACTCTGTACTTTTACACTTCCTGGTTTCTGGAATCTGGACTGACTTGTTTCAGTAATTATTGGCCTATTCCTAGAAGGAGAAATCTTAGGCCTTAGTTTTTGGGTGAAAGCATTTTGGTCTTATTTCTAAGATGGCTCATTTTGGTCTCACAGTCTGAGGTTTCTGTTGTGTCTAGAACATGACCCCCAGAAAGACCACTGAAGATGAGCATGCCAGAATGCAAAAGCAAGATTTAATTCTGGATATCCAAAAGAGCAATAGAAGCCTAGGGAGGGACTTCGTCCAATACATCCAACACAGTGGAGGCTGGAGGAAGTGCTCACCTCTCTGCAAGCTCACTTTTTAAAGGCAAAAGCCACAAGGTTACATCATTTAGGGGTACTAGTACGGGTACAATTCCGATTGGCTCGCTTCTAGGGACTTTCTAGAATCATGGATTAATCTTATGTCTAAGGGGGTGATTGCCAGCCATAATTTCTCATTGGCTGCCTTCAGGTGGGGACATTTTCATGGTCAGTTACCCTGGAAACCAGGGTTGCAACATTCTTTCGTCAAACAGTTACCTAGGGAACCAGGGAGAGGACGTTCCATAGTCTGACATAGTCATTTCCTCGTGAATACCTTGTGACTCTTGTACTTTTACACTTCCTGGTTTCTGGAATCTGGACTGACTGGTTTTAGTAACTCATGGCCTATTCCAGTAACTCATGGCCTGTACGTAAAAGGAGAAATCTTAGGTCTTAATTTTAGGGTGAAAGCATTTTGGTCTTATTTGTAAGATGGCTCATTTTGGTCTCACAGTTTCTGGTTTCCTTAGGATGCAAATGGTATCTCTAGAATCAGAGGCCATCCATGTTGGTCTCTGGGGATGGGTTTTGAGTGTTTATACTCCAACCACTCTTATCAATGTTATGCCTAGATTGCGGGGAACCCCAAAAAGACCACCTAGGAGACCAAATCACACATGTAAGAGCAAAGAGCCTTTATTCTCTTCAAGCTTTGAGCTTGGTCTCTCTGTCTCCCTTTATTTTCAGGCTCCAGGACTTGATCTGTCTGTCCTATGCAATGGTGAGAGCAGAGAGCCCTGAGCCCAGGCAGGGTAGAGTTTCTATCGTAAAGGTTGGGGTGAGGGGATTTCCAGGGTTCAGGACCCTAATTTGTTGATAATGTCTATAGGTATCTGTAAAACAAAAATAGGTATGTGCTAGACTCAGGGACATCTGGCCACCTTATCTAATGGTTGGAATGTTTGGGATGTTTGGTACTTTCCCATCCCTGGGTGGATTACTGGGTGGTGTCAGCTTATGGCTTTTCCTGGAATCTGGGCATTGCCTTCCAGAAGTAGTATCTGGGCCTCTAAGCCTGTCATGGTAGCTGTGTGGTCAAGCTGTTTGGGGGCCCCTGAGCAGCCCTGTTCATTCTCATGCAGCCACATTTCCAACATAACACTCTCCATCCTTAAATAACTTAAGGTAATATAGAAGCAAATGCTTTTCCTTGATAAGACCTTTTTTCTGCCCTGATATATTTAGTTTATATTTTTGGCTGATAGCATTAGGTTTTACTATATGTGAAGTATTTGATCTTGGTGAGCTTTACCCACTTTTTCAATTTTAAACATTGGCAGAGGTTTTGTTTTCTTCCAGCAGGATGACATGCATTCACAACATTAATACAGATCTCCTGAATCATTACATTGCAGATGTGTAGCATTCTGCATATCTTTTTGCTGTTTTAATATTTTTTACTTTTTGAAATGCATGCATGAGTCTTTTTCCTGTATATATGCAGGTGTACCATGTTTGCCTGCTGTTCACTGAAGTCAGAGGAGAGCCCTGGATAGTCTTGAAATTAAGTTCCAAATATTGGGAGCCATAATTGAGTCCTAGGGACTGATGCAGGTCCTCTGTAAAAGCAAAAGGTGATCTTAACTGTTGATTCATATTTATATTCTACTGGTAGTTTTGCTTGTTTGTTTTCTTTTATGGTTTAACACCAGCCTTTCCTTCACTAATACTTTTGAGAGTCATTTTGATATGTCTATCAGTAACTTAATAAAAATGCACTTTTTCATAGGAATATCATATTAGCTGTATAGTTCAAATGAGTCACTCCAGTTTTCTGAAAGCCAAGTACATTTCTAGATTGTATGTTTAGCTCACTGAGGGAATTTAGAGTGAGCCCCTTGTGCTCAATGTTTTTCTTTGTTTGACATGGTCTCACTATGTACCTTTGACTATCCTTGAAATCTGTACATAGACCAGGCTGGTCTGGAAATCACAGAGATTCACTTGTCTCTGCCTCCTGAGTTTGGGGATTAAAAGTGTGCACCACCATGCCCTTCTTGTCCATCCTTTTTTGATGTCAGTAATTTTGAAACAAGTTTGCTGTTGTTTACTCAATACTATTGCTTTGTTTGAATATCTCTCTATATATATAGGTCAGCATTTCGCTTGCAGTAGCATATAGTATTCATAGGGATCAGAAATGAGAGTTGTAATCCTCTTTCTCTAATTCCCTCTAAAATGGTTCGCTGATTGAATTGGAAATTCTGTGATATGAAATACATTTGTCAAGCACACATAATTATGTAAATATAATCCCAGTGAAGTGTACATTTGCAGAGCATTCAGTCTTACCATTTCTGTTTCATATGTGTATGTGGTTTTTAGGATACAGTGACCTATGAGGATGTGCAAGTGAACTTCACCCATGAAGAGTGGGCTTTGCTGGATCCTTCCCAGAAGAGTCTCTACAGAGATGTGATGCTGGAAATCTGTGATAATCTCACTGCTATAGGTAAGAATGTGAGTTTTCCTTCACTTTTTAACTTACGATTATAAGCCTTTCTTAAGAATTTTTGTTGCACTGTGATTTCTACTGCGAAAGAAGAAGAATGTGGTACATAAATTAGGCATGGTTCTAAGGTTCACTGGATATAATAACTCAAATTTTGCATAATTTCCAATGATATATCATTCATTTCTGGTACTATATTTTAGGCTACAAATGGGAGGACCACAATATTGGAGAACGTTGTCAAGTTTCTAGAAGACATGGAAGGTAATTTTCATGTACAAGGTGATACATTTATGCCTCTAAAGAACTTTTAAAGTGCTCTAATATTTAATGAAAACCAACAATATAAATAATTACAGCTTTGTGATGATTATTAAATTCTTACAATATCATGTACCTCACTTTCAGTTAGCTGATATGTGTTTACAAGGTGTTCCTGTAAGAGACAAGACAAAGAAACAATGCCTTAACAAATGTCACCATATCAATCATAACTCCCTGAGATCCATTCAACTACTGAAAAGGCATTCACATTGATTTGCGGATTAGGGTATGTCCTAAAATGTTCATAAGCAAATTGTCCCTTAGTGTTACTCATATACTTGAAGAGAGTTACCATAGTTTAATTTAAGGGGCAGTTTATGAGAGTCAAGAATGTTTTGTTGTTGTGGAGAAACCTTAATCCCTGTACTACATCTCTATGTGGAACAAAAAGTTAAACTGTGTGAATGCAGTGTGAAAACCTTTTGTTTGTTAATGTTCCTTTAACAGGTATATCATCTGTCACTCTGGATATAAACTATGTGAGCATAAGGGATCTGGAAAGAAGATAGGTACCTCTCTCTCACCCAGAAAAATCAAAAGATATGCAGTGGTTAACACTATGAGTAGACAGTGTGATTGTGAAACAAGTATAGAATTAACTGGATTCCCAACTTCACTGGAAATACACCAACATACTTGCAATGGAGAAAAGCCTTATGAGTATACAGAACTTGGAAATTTTTCTGTCTGTACTGGGTCATGTTGCCCATTTAATGTGACTCCCACTATAGGAAAGTGTTATGAATGCAATCAGTGTGGTAAAGCTCTCAGTTATTCCAGTACTTTTCAAAGAAATGTAAAAACTCATATGAAAAAAGGAACAGATAAATGTGAGCCATGTACTAAAGGCGTGAACCATCACAGGTATCTTGAAACATGCAAAAGAACCCATAAAGAAGAGGAATCTTATGAATGTAAGCAACATGATAAAACATTTAGATATGATTGCCCTTTAAAGTTACAGCAAAGAACACATTTGAAAATTAAACCCTATGAATATAATCAAAGTTTTAAAGCTTTTGCATGTCATAGTTATCTTCAATTACCTAGAACTAATGCTATAATAAAACAGTATGAAGAAAAGCAATGTGGTAAAACTTTTACATATCCCAGTATTATTAAACAACATGAAAGAAGTCATACTGGTGAGAAATCCTATGAATGTAATCAATGTGGTAAAGAATTTGCACAAAAAAGTCATCTTCTCAATCATGAAAAAAGTCATATTGGAAATAAACCCTATGAGTGCAATCAATGTGGTAAAGCCTTTTCAAGTAAAAGTCATCTTCACAGTCATGAAAGAATTCATAGTAGAGAGAAACCCTATGAATGTAATCAATGTGGTAAAGCATTTGAATGGAAAAGTCTTCTTCACAGACATGAAAGAAGCCATACTGGAGAGAAACCCTATGAATGTAATCAATGTGGAAAAGCCTTTGCAAGTAAAAGTCATCTTCACAGTCATGAACGAATTCATAGTGGAGAGAAACCCTATGAATGTAATCAATGTGGTAAAGCATTTGCATGGAAAAGTCCTCTTCACAGACATGAAAGAATTCATACTGGAGAGAAACCCTATGAATGTAATCAATGTGGTAAAGCATTTACATATAAAACTGATCTTCACAGTCATGAAAGAATTCATAATGGAGAGAAACCCTATGCATGTAATCAGTGTGGTAAAACATTTCCATATAAAAGTCATCTTTACTATCACAAAAGAATTCATAGTGGAGAGAAACCCTATGAATGTAATCAGTGTGGTAAAACATTTGCATGGAAAAGTGATCTTCACAATCATGAAAGAATTCACACTGGAGAGAAACCATATGAATGTAATCAATGTGGAAAAGCCTTTACATGTAAAGGTCATCTTCACAGTCATGAAAGAATTCATGTTGGAAAGAAACTTTATGAATGTAATCAATGTGGTAAAGCATTTGCATGGAAAATTTCTTTTCACAGACATGAAAGAAGTCATACTGGTGAGAAATCCTATGAATGTATTCAATGTGGTAAAGAATTTTCCCAAAAAAGTCATCTTCTCAATCATGAAAAAAGTCATATTGGAAATAAACCCTGTGAATGCAATCAGTGTGGTAAAGCCTTTTCAAGTAAATATCATCTTCACAGTCATGAAAGAATTCATAGTAGAGAGAAACCCTATGAATGTAATCAATGTGGTAAAGCATTTGAATGGAAAAGTCTTCTTCACAGACATGAAAGAAGCCATACTGGAGAGAAACCCTATGAATGTAATCAATGTGGAAAAGCCTTTGCAAGTAAAAGTCATCTTCACAGTCATGAACGAATTCATAGTGGAGAGAAACCCTATGAATGTAATCAATGTGGTAAAGCATTTGCATGGAAAAGTCTTCACAGACATGAAAGAATTCATACTGGAGAGAAACCCTATGCATGTAATCAGTGTGGTAAAACATTTCCATATAAAAGTCATCTTTACTATCACAAAAGAAGTCATAGTGGAGAGAAACCCTATGAATGTAATCAGTGTGGTAAAACATTTGCATGGAAAAGTGATCTTCACAATCATGAAAGAATTCATACTGGAGCGAAACCTTATGAATGTAATCAATGTGGTAAAGCCTTTACACGTAAAAGTCATCTTCACAGTCATGAAAGAAGTCATAATGAAGAGGAACCTTATGAATGCAATCAATCAACGCAGTACAGCATTTACATGGAAAAGTGACCTTCACAGCCATGAATGAAATCACATTGGAGAGAAACCCTATGAATGTAATCAATGTGGTAGAGATTTTCATGGAAAGGACTTCTTCGCATTCATAAAAGAATCATACTGGAGACAAAGTCTATGAATGCAATTAATGTTGTAAAGCATTCGCTTATAACAGTCATCTTCACACCTAATGAAAGAATTCATAGTAGAGAAAACCCTATCAATGTATTCAATGTGGTAAAGCTTTTACATAATATCCCAGTGTTCTTAAACAACATGAAAGAAATCATACTGGAGAGAAGGTCTATTAATATGTTAGAGCATTTATATAAAAAGTCATCTTCACAGGCATGAAAAAATACATCCTAGAGAAAAATCCCTTGAACCTTATAAATCAGGTAAAGCTTTGAACACCAGGCACAGAATCTATCATTTTGGAGATGCCAGTACCATGCAGTGTCCACCAAGACCATCAGCAGTGGTAAAGTGGATCCAGTAAGAGCCTCGAAGTTATGTGTACTGCAGAGCGCAGAGCCAAAGAAGTGACCCAAGCCCTTTGGAGAATCCCTGAAGATTCTGCATGGATCCCAGTCACTAGAGGTTGAGTTAATTTATACTGTCAGACTTCATTTTTGCATTCTTCAGGTTTTGGCTGCCTTGCTTCTTCCTCTTGCACAGAGACAGTACTTAATTTAATTTTGATTTTTCCGTGAGAAATATTTGAAAGGCTTTGAATTTTTAAAAGAGATTTTAGATTTTTAGTGAGATTGCATATTTTTAAAGAGAAACTTTAATGTGTATGAATTTGTAAAGATTGTTGGGCTTTTGTTAAAGCTATTTATGTTTTTAATGCAATATCTTGTGAATGAATAAGAAAAGAAAGGTTGGGGCTTAATAGTGCCAAGTTTGTGTGTCAAGTTGAAAAGTGGTCAATTTCACTGGCTAGTCCTATGTTAACTTCACAAACAAGCTACAGTTATGAAAGAAGGAAACTCAATTGAGAAAAATTCATAAGATCTGGCTCTAAGGCATTTTCTTAATTAATGATTGATTGGGGAGGTGTCCTGTGTTCTATAAGAAAGCAGGCTGAGCAAGCCATGGGGGACAATCCAGTTAAGAGGTACACTGCACGGCCTCTGCATCAGCTCCAAGTTCCTGCCCCATTTATGTTTCTGTCCTGACTTCCTTCAGTGATAAACAGCAATATGGAAGTTTAGGCCAAATAAACCCTTTCCTCCCCATTATGTTTTTTGGTCATTGTGTTTCATTGCCGAAATTCTAACTAAGACATCTTGTCTCAAAAATGGAAAATTAGGGTTGTGGACAGATGGCCCAGCAATTAAACACACTGGCTGTTTTTCCAGAGGACACAGTTTCAATTCCCAGCACCAATAGGGAAGTTCACAACTGTCTGTATGTACTCTTCCAGGGAAAACAACACCCTCACACAGACTTAAATCCTAACAAAACACCTATGAATATAAAGTAAAAGTAAATTATGTTTAAAAGAATATGTCACATTATGGAACTTTCCCTACCATAATCTGGACTCATCTCTACTAAATATTTTGTTGTCATTTACATTAAGAGAACTGTGTTTACAATTACAATAAGAAGAGATGGTCAGAGTCTATTCACAGAGGGATAGAAAGCATTCAGCCCTTCAGTGATCATATAGGGAATTTCATCACCTCCCAGTGATAGAAGACAGAAACAGTAATGGCACAACTTCATCTTCTATAATATGACATATTGGCATGTTGAGAATTTGACTCAGTTGTAAAGCTGCTGTTAGGTTCCCAATTTGGTTCCAATCACCCACATCAGATGGCTCAGAACTGCTTATAAAGCTTTGTGGAGATCTGATGCATTCTTCTGCCTTCCGAGGGCATCAGGTATGTAAATGGTGCAAAAACAATTATTTATTTGTGTGTGAGTGAGTGTGTGTGTGACTCCATATTTTCAAAAGAACTTTCTTCATGGGTATATTATATTTTCTAAAATAAAAGTAAAATTAATTTAGATTTTTTAGCAGACATGGTCTTGGAAAGGTGTCATTTGAGGAGAATTCTGAATACTTATGTTAACACTCCAAGAAAATGAAACAAAAATTTTGTGACCTCAGTTTCTTCAAATCCAGAAATTGTTCTTGAAATATGTTTTTGTGCAGATAGATGTGATTTGTCTCTTGGTTGCTCATTATTGCTTGGTGGCTTTGCTCAATTAAATGTTTGACCTGTCCTTTATATGCCTGAATGGAAAAACATGTTTTTGTCCCATGTAGCTTGTTCTGTCATTGTATACAACTTTAACTCAGGAGAACTTCACTCATGTAATTTTCTTAATCCACAGAGTATAAATTATCTCAGGCAGTGAATAAAGTTGGCTCTTGTATGAGACTTTAATCGTCCTTATTTATCAGCTCCATTCTCCCAGTTCCCATTACCACTACAGCCTCCTTTATATACATATCCTTCATTTTCTGAAATTGACCCTGAAGCATGGAGTGAGTAATTTAATGATCAATCTAATCTTGAATTCTCTCCATTTTGGTGAATATTTAGAAGCGCCTGTGATAAAGTTGACTTCACTTACAAATTCCTTCCTGACCTCATGAGGTGTGTTTAGCATTTCCAGTGCAACTTCAGGAAAATCAAAATTATGCACTAACCAATCCACTTAAACTCTAGAAGGAGAGATGGCATTGGAATATCTTCACATACTATCTATAGAGGCAAAAATTAGCTACAGCTATTTCAATCCAGACCAAAGAGGTATTTGTGTATCCTGTGGATCCTTTGCTGCCTTCCAAAGTACTTATTTACCCCACTGAATTGTTACCCACAGATATTATAGCACAAGAGGATAAACCTTTGGAATGGATGGATTTCTAAGTCAGAAAATACAAGTTGGCCAATGGCAGATTTACTCAGGCCCGTAGAAATTCCTAAAGCTTGGCCTTCAATAGTTTTGGATTTAAAAGAATGTTTTTAAAGTATATTTATTCATCCTGATAATATGCATTTTGCCTTTTGTGTTCCCTCATTCAAACATAAAATGCCTCTCCTCCAATATCAATGGACTATATTGTCTCAAGACATGACAAACCCATTTACTATGTGTCAGTACTACATAAGAAATATGTTAGAGCCTAGAGGCAGGCCTTCCCTTAGCCTTATATCCTGTTGGTTTGCTCGAAAGAGGAAGAACTACAATTTATATATGATATGACTCATGATATGCCAGGAAACAAACAAAGAAACATAAAACAGTGGCCTTATTATTGAACCAAAATGTTACAATGATCAGACTCTGTGCAATATTCAGAAAAACTAATTACTACAACAGCTGTTAAACCAAACACAAAAAATGTCCATTAGACAAGACAACTGAAAAACAATGACTTTAGAAATTGTTAGGGGGTATTAATTGGCTATGTCCTCCTTTAGGAGTACCTAATGATGCACTAACTAGACTATTTGAAACTACAGAAGGCGAGGCATCATTGGATAGTCCTCACATATTACCTCCAGAGGAAAAGTAAGAATTAAAGGTATTTGAATTCAGACTAAATGAGGCATTTGTGGATCCTGTGGATCGTTGACTCCCTTTAAATGCACTTATTTCTCCCACTAAATGAGTTCATACAGGTATTAGAGCACAAGAGGAGAAAACTTTGAAATGAACTTATTTACACCATATCAGCTTTCCTTGCCTCTCTTGCTCAATTACTGAACTAGGGCAGGACCCAATGTCAAAAATTTTACATACTTGATTGTTGCTGTATTATATATCCCTTAAAGAACAATCAGTATTTAAGTGCTTTAAAGAACTGTATGGACTTAATCATGTGCACATTACTCTGGAAAGACAGGAAATCATTATCCTGCTGGCAAGAGAGAGGTTTTCTCATATGACCTGAATTGGTGATTACAAAATTGTCCAACTTCTCTCATTCCACAGAAAATTATTTTATTTATGGCTCATCTAATGGATTAGTAAGGATTCATAAACCAGACATTCACCAATCTATTAATACTTCTTTTTCCAGAGCTCAACATGTAGAATTTGCTGTTTTGATTCATGTATTACAGCTAATTTATAAACCTGAAAATATTGTTTCAGATTCTGTTTATGTTGTAGGAATATTTCCAGCATAGAAATTGCTTTAATATTATCTTCATTGCCTGTTTTGTTTCTTATTACTACAGGAACAGAAACATTTGATTAAAACTCCCAGGTGTCCTTTGTTTGTTGCTTGTTCTTCTGCATACTCTGGCCTGCCTGTTTTTATTTCAGAAGGAAATAAGCTAGCTTGTAGTGGGTAGCCATTTCAGCTTTGGTCTGGAAGTTCCAACCCCCATTGAGGCTTCGGTAACTGTCACGCCTACAAGGCAGGGCCAAGGGAGGACCCTGAAGACCCGAGATCCGGATGCGCCAGCCCTCTTGGTTCCTGGACCCTGGATGCTGGAGGTAGACCAAGCAGAGTTCTCCAGAGAACACCGCTGGACAGTGCTGCGTCTTTCCCAGACCCTGCAACCTATCTATCTCTTCATTTGTAAGTTACACCACTAAATAAATCTCCCTTTTAACTACGTGGAGTGGTCTTAATAATTTCACCAATACTAGCTGATGCATGAACCTGCCTTATTTTTACTTCTCTAAAACAGGAACCTCAGCACCTACTCACTACTGCTAATATACTTTATGTACAGGGCCCCATTGCTGTGGGATGGTCTTTATGTCAAATTGCTCTGATTGGTCAATAAATAAAACACTGATTGGCCAGTGGCTAGGCAGGAAATATAGGCCGGACTAACAGATAGGAGAAAAGAAAGAACAGGAAGGCGGAAGGAACAGCCGCTGCCATGACAAGAGGTATGTGAAGATGCCGGTAAGCCATGAGCCACGTGGCAAGGTATAGATTTATAGAAATGGATTAATTTAAGCTATAAGAAGAGTTAGCAAGAAACCTGCCACGGCCATACAGTTTGTAAGCAATATAAGTCTCTGTGTTTACTTGGTTGGGTCTGAGCGGCTGTAGGACTGGCGGGTGACAAAGATTTGTCCTGACTGTGGGCAAGGCAGGAAAACTCTAGCTACACTCCATACTGTGGGGCATACATACAAAGAGGGTGCCGAGAAGAAGTTAAACAAATAGAGCTTAAGCTGTTTACACAGAGAGTAGATACAGAGGATGGTGTGGAGAGGAAGTTAGCTTGGGTTGTTTGTACGGATATTAGATACAAATGGTGTGGAAGGAAGTAGCTCAAGTTGTTATGCTGAGATAAAATACTAAGATCAAGAGATGATGTCAAGGCATAAACAACTCGTAAACAAGAAAATGAGTATAGGGTGACCTTTAAAATGATTTGTCGTTTCCTTTACACCCTCCTAGGGTTCTGAGGTTTTTGCTATAAAAGAGGCTTACTGCCTAACAATAAACGAGTTCTTGCTTGACTTTACTCACCGCTAGGTCTGATGGTTGACTCCCCACTGAGTCTGATTGTCTCCAGGTAAGAGGAAGGCTGGGAAATGGGTGAGCATTGCACTTACCTTTCCTCAGTTCCAGGCCACTTTTTCACAGGTGACCTAAGTTCCCAGTGGGGCAGGACCTCACACCATATCACTTAGAGAAGTGAGAAATCGTGCAGGAAGGTCCTACTTATGTCCTTTTACACTGTCAGAGTTTCATAGCTGGAGTTAATCCAAGAGTTAAAAATAGTAACAAATTATGGCAAATGGCTGTCACTGCCTTTGTTCTTGAACCTCAGATGCTCTACATGCATGTGTTCATTTATTCATATTTTAATTTCTTTGGACTGTATGTCAATCCTCGGAGGTTTCTTCTGCACTATGATTTTCTGTTATACAAAGTTTTGCTGTTATGGGAGTTCTTACTACTATAAAATTTGCAATGGAATAGTATTTATTGTTTTTTAAAAACCAAATTCAAACAGTATCCACAAATTCAGCCCTATGGAAGATAACAGAAGGAAAACTCCAACACAAGGAGGTAAATGACACCCAAGGAAACACAGGAAATAAATGATTTCACAACATCAAATCCAAAACAAGGGAAACACAAACTATCTCCACTCCTATTAACATCAAAATGACAAGAATAAACAATCAGCACTCATTAATATTCCTCAGTATCAATGGACTCAATTCCAAATTAAAAAACACAGACTATCAGAGTGATACAAAAAGAGGATCCATCATTTTGCTGCATACAGGAAACACACCTCACCATTAAAAATGAACATTACCTCAGAGTAAAGAGTTGGAAAAAGCTTTTTCAATACAGCTGTACCCAAGAAGTAAGCTGGTGTAGCCATTCTAATAAGTAACAAAATAGACTTCCAAATAAAATCAAAATAGTTGGGGAGGGACACTTCAAATTCATCAGAGAAAAAAAAATCAACCAAGATGACATCTCAATTCTGACCATCTATATCTCAAATGCAAGGGCACCAACATTTGTAAAAGGAACAATACCAAAACATAAACCATGTATCAGACCCACACATAAATAATAGAAGACTTCAATCTCCTACTCTCACCAATTGACAGGTCATCCAGACAGAAACTAAACAGAATATCATGGGGAAAAAAAACCAGAATAACTCAAATGGACACAACAGATATCTACAAAACAGTTTACCCCCCAAAAAAGAATATATCTTTTTTTCAGCACCCCATGGAACCTTCAGTGAAGTTGACCATATACTCAACCCCAAAGCAAGTCTCAATAGATAGAAGAAAATTGAAATAACCCCTGTATCTTACCAGACCATCATGGATCGGTGTTGGACTTTAACAACAACAGAAGCAACAGAAAGCCTGAAAACTCATGGAAACTAAACAATTCTCTACTGAGTTACAACTGCCTCAAGGAAGAAATAAAGAAATTAAAGACTTCCAAGAATTCATTGAAAATAAATGAACAAACCAAATTTATGGGATACAATGAAAGTGGTGCAAAGAGGAAATTTAATTGCACTAAGTGTATTCATTAAAAAAAAATTGAGAGATCTCATACTAGAGCCTTAACAGGATACCTGAATGTGCTAGAAGAAAAAGAAGCAAATGAACTCAAGTAATAGGTGGCAGGAACTATCAAACTCAAGGCTGAAATCAACAACATAGAAACAAGTGTACAATACAAAGTATCAATGAAACAAAGAGTTGGTTCTTAGAGAAAATAAACAAGATAGACAAACCCTTATCCAAATTAAAATGCACAAAGAGACTAATTAAAAAACAAAATCAGAAAAGAAAAGAGGGCCAGGCAGTAGTGGTGCACACCTTTAATCCCAGCACTCAGGAAGCAGAGCCAGGCAGATCTCTGTGAGTTCGAGGCCAGCCTGGTCTACAGAGTGAAATCCAGGAAAAGGCACCAAAACTACACAGAGAAACCCTGTCTTGAGCTCCCCCCCCCAAAAAAAAAAAAGAAAAGAAAAGGGGATATAACAACAGACTATAGAACTATAATCCCCAAGGAAATTGAAGCAGTCATTAAAAGTCTCCCAACCAAAAAGCCCAGGTCCAGGTTATTTAGTGCATAATTCTCCCAGATCTTCAAAGAGCTAATACCAATACTCCTCAAATTATTCCACAAAATAGAAACAGAATAAACATTGCCTAATATATGTTGTGAGGCCACAGTCATCCTGATGCCTAAAACCACAAAAAGACTCAAAAATAAAAAGAATTACAGAGCCATCTCACTCATGAACTTCGATGCCAAAAACTCAATAAAATACTTGCAAACCAAATCCAAGATCACATCGGAAAGATCATCCACCATAGTCAAGTCTGGTTAATCTCAGAGATGCAGAAATAGTTCAACATATGAGAATCTGTCAATAGAACCTACCATATATACAATCTGAAAGAGAAAAATCACATGATCATCTCATCAGATGCAGAAAACTATCTGACAAAATCTGACCCCCTTCATGATAAAAGTCATGAAGAGACAAGGATACAAGTGACATACCTAAACACAAGAAAGGCAATATATAATAAACATATGGCCAACTTCAAATTAAATGGGGAAAAATTTAAAGCAATTCCACTGAAATCAGGAACAAGGTAAGGCTGTCCAGTCTCTCCATATCTATTCAATATAGTACTGCTGTGGGATGGTCTGTATGTCAAATGTGTTGCTGATTGGTCAATGAATAAATCACTGATTGGTCAGTGGCCAGGCAGGAAGTATAGGTGGGACTAACAGAGAGGAAAATTGAGAGAACAGGAAGCTGGAGAGGGAGACACTGCCAGCCGCCATCAGGATAAGGAAGATGTAAAGTACCGGTAAGCCACAAGCCACGTGGCAAGGTATAGATTAATGAAAATGGATTAATTTAAGCTGTAAGAACAGTTAGCAAGAAGCCTGCCACGGCCATACAGTTTGAAACCAATATAAGTCTCTGTGTTTATTTGATCGGGTTTAAGTGGCTTGGGACTGGCGGGTGAGAGAGATTTGTCCTGACTGTGGGCCAGGCAGGAAAACTCTAGCAACAAATGGCGTCCAACGTGGTGGCAAGAGTTTCCACCTAAAACCTGAGAAAAAAGATTCTAAAACGGAGCTAAAAACAGCTTCCTAATTGTCTCTCTCAAATGAGCGGCAGCTGCCGGTTTGAGCTACTGGCGGGTTGCTGGCGTGCGTGCTCGACCTGCAGTATGGCGGGAATGAGGCCTCTGCAAGTGGCACATTAAGCTACATTGTGGATTTAGCCTTTGCTAGTACAAAACAAAAAAAGAGGTTTCTGGGCTACACGCTGCTTGGATAAAAGCATAGCCCCACGATAGCTCCCAGAGCTGGTGGAAAACGCCATGTTGGGAAGCTGAGGTGGGCGGAGCCAGCAGCCACAGCTGCTGCAGTTTAAGGCAATAGATTCACAATAAGACAGATTCAGATGTAATAGTTTAAAATGTGTGTAAAATATACGTAGGCTTAAAAGAGATTAAAAAGGTGATATATACAGTTACAGAAACAAATACATAGTTTTAAAAAATAAAGTCTTTAAAGAGACAGTAAAATTAATATAAAAAATAAGCCACGTAAAGATGAATATTACACAGAGAATCTGAATTGTGTTGTCTTTGGGATTCTTAACTGCAGAGAGATATTTGATTGTAAAGGATACTGAGTTAAACCAATATGCATATTTTAAAGATATCTTGACTTCAAAATTTGGATATAAGGATATGTTGCTTTGGAAAGGAGATTCTGCTTTTGTTTCCACAGAAAGCCAGAGGCTATGGATTTGTTCCAGATTAAGATACATCAGGTTTGACCAGCCAAGACCCCCTGAAAGGTCTCTGATGACACCATGGCCCAGATGATCCAACATCCAGAACCGTTTCAAGGCAACTGGCTCAGATGATACACCCTCATGGACTATTCCATAATCCTAAAATATTCTTTGTGTCCCCATAAGATACAGCGCCCCCCTCCAGCAGGAAGTAGTAAGAGAAGCTACGCCCAAATTCCCAAATATACCAAGCTGACTTTGGAGATGTGTAAAGGTTAAAACCTTCCTTTTTAAGAAAAGAAAAGGGGAAGTGCTGTGGGATGGTCTGT